GAGAATCTCAGCTAAGCTGTGGCCGCATTAAAGATGTGCACCTGATGACTCAGGCTGCAGCAAGGGTTCTTTCCTGAAAAATTCTCCATGGAGTCTCCCCATCAATTCAGTCATTTCAGGTGAAATCTTCCCCTGAGCAGAGTGCAGACCACAAACTTTGAAGACACGTTTGACCTAATCTGCCACTTATGAGTTGTTTTGGGCCCTAGATCTTACATATTCACGATACCCAGGTTTTTCTTTTTTTTTTTAAGATTTTTTTTTTTTTTATTCATAGACACAGAGAGAGAGGCAGAGACACAGGCAGACGGAGAAGCAGGCTCCATGCAGGGAGCCCGATGTGGGACTCGATCACGGGTATCCAGGATCACACCCCAGGCTGCAGGCGGCGCCAAACCGCTGCGCCACCGGGGCTGCCTGATACCCAGGTTTTTCAACTGTAAAATGGGAATAATACCTAATTTTAGGATTGTCAAGTTTTAAAAAGATAATAAAAGATAACTACAAGCACCCAGTACAGAGTCTGCCAACCAACAGGTGCTTGATAAATATATTTGCACCTTGCAGCTTGAGAAATACAAAGGGGCGGCGTCACAAATGCAATAGTCTTCCTTCCATGTAAGAGCCATGGAGATCTCTGTGGATTCACTGGTTAAATCATCTGTTCAATAAATATTCACTTAAACCCCCATCCTGTGTCATGTTCTGTGTTGGGCTGTAGGGCTGTAGAGATGAAAGGCCTCCAGCCCAGTTAAATCATATGCCTCCTGTGGTGCTGAGCACCAGCCCAGAAGTGCAGGCCTGGGGAGGCTCCACCGAAGGATCAAAGTTGAAAACCAGCTAGACAGACCCTGAGCCCAGGCACACAGCCTATTCAACACAGCCATGCTCAGCTCTGCCCAGTAACTGGGACCTAGATTTATGGAAATGGGCTTATCCCCATGCACTGGTGGCCCACCTGGCTGGGGGCATTGATGCCAGGGACCCTATTTATTCTTAGGCCTCTACTCATCTCCCTCTAGCTGCTCCCATATTTTAATTTTGAAAACCTGAGATTGGCAGAAATGGGGGTAAGTCTGCACCCTTACTCAGCTGGATAAAGTGGCAGCACTAAAATCTCTTTCCCAAGAACCAGAATCCCAAAGCATGGCTTCTCAAATTTAGACCAGAAATCAAGTTCAGGTATTAGGTATCTCACCAGACTTACCAGAGATAGATGACAGCTCTCCTTTTAATAAGACAGCTCACTTGGGTACCATTCTTTCAGTACTTCCAAAAGCATTCAGCAACTGATATCCACCAGTCCTGGTCCACGGAGAACCTCTCAAAGGTATTGCTTCTTTGCCTTCTTTGCCTTCACATCCATCCACACCATATTCTCATATTATTATCACCTATCTAGTTATCTGCCCTTCAACAGAACATGAATCCCTTGAAGGCAAGGGCCTTGTCTTTTCATCTCTGTACCCTAAATGCCAAAGATCCTGGTACACAGAAGTCAAATAGTCTGAAGGAGACAGACAGACACAGACAGACACACAAACCAACAAATACCCACACAGCACAGAGTCCTAAAATCCCCAAGTAGTCATGGAAGCTGATTCTACTCTTCACCCATAAATGCAAATATGGAAGGTAAAAACATGTCCCAGCCAGGCCATAGGATATACTAAAGAATATAAGATGCCACATATTTAAGAAATCACCTCTCTTGTTCCAAATGAAGCATGTTCATATCTGACAGATTTTTTTTTCCATTTCAGTTTCAAAAGTTCTAAATAATAGTATTTTTTTGTGTGTTTCTCAGCTTTTGACTATCTCCTATGAGCAGTACCGAATGTTCTACATGTACATTATCATTTAATCTTCACAACAATCCTCTAAGCTAATTACTACTATCATCATCCCCACATTATAGGTGAGATGACTTGCCCAGACCATACAACTACTAAGTGGCAGGCAGATTAGAACTCACACTCAGATGGCCAGACATATTGACACTAAAGCGTATGTTTTCCTTCTCCATTACACTCAGAATAACTTGGCAAACTAACACTATGGTTTTTTTTTTAAGTTTTTATTTATTTATCCCATGAGAGACACACAGAGAGAGGCAGAAACATGAGCAGAGAGAGAAGCAGGCTCCATGCAGGGAGCCTGATGTGGGACTTGATCCCGGGACTCCAGGATCACATCCTGGGCCGAAGGCAGGCGCCCAACCGCTGAGCCACCCAGGCGTCCTGAACACTATGATTCTAATAATTGTCATTAGTATGACTTAGTTTTCTGATTTTTTAGAGCCATACAAAGCCTTGAGACATGCATAGTTTATGTTAAAAAGCCGAGATGGGATCAAAGACTTAAACATAAGAATTAAACCTATAAAATTCTTAGAAAATACAGGGGGAAAGCTTCATGGCAATGGATTTGGCAATAATTTCATGGCTAGGACACCAAAAGCACAGGCAACAGAAGCAAAAGCAGGTAAGTCGGACTTCAGCAGAATTAAAAACTTTTGTGCATCAAAGAACACTATTAAGAGAACAAAAAGACAACTCATGGAATAGGAGAAAATATCTACAAATCCCATATCTGATAAGGGCATAATATCCATATATATATATATATATATATATATATATATATATATATATATTCCTACAACTCAACAACAATAACAGAAAACAATTAAAATGTAGGCAAAACTGAAAATCTATACCATTATACAACAACTCTCCATTCCCCACTCCTCCCCCAATTCCTGGCAACCACCATGCTACTCTTGGTCTCTATGAATTTGACTACTCTGAGTATCTCATGTAAATAGAATCATAGACTATTTGTCTTTTTTGTTAACTGGCTAATTTTATTTAGCATCATGTTCTCAAAGTTCATTCATGTTGTAGCATGTGTCAGAATTTTCTACCTTATTAAAGCTAAATAGTATTCCACTGTATATACATACCACATTTTGTTTATCCACTCATCTGTCAATGGACACTTGGATTGCTTCCACCTTTTCTCCATGTCAATAATGTAGTTATGAACACAGGTGTACAAATCTCTCTTTGAGTTCCTGATTTTAATTCCTTAATTCTCTCTGGTATATACCCAGAAGTGGAATTGCTGGATTATATGGTAATTTTATTTTTAAAGGAATGGTCGTACTGTTTTCCACAGAGGCTGTACCATTTTATATTCCCACCAACAATGTACAGGATTCCAATTTCTCCACATGCTCACCAAACTTGTTATTTTCTGTTCTTTCCTCTTAATAGTAACCATCCTAATGGGTTTGAGGTGGTATCTCATTGTGGTTTTGATTTGTATTTCCCTAAAGATTAGTGATATTGAGCATCTTTCTGTGTGCTTACTGGCCATTTGTATATCTTGCTTGGAGAAATGTCTATTCAAGTCCTTTGCCCATTTTTATTATTTTTAAAGATTTATTTATTTATTTATAATAGACAGAGAGAGAGAGAGGCAGAAACACAGGAGGAGGGAGAAGCAGGCTCCATGCTGGGAGCCTGACACAGGACTCAACCGGGACTCCAGGATCGTGCCCTGGGCCAAAGGCAGGCGCTAAAACACTGAGCCACCCAGGGATCCCCACCTTTGCCCATTTTTAAATTAGGGTTTTTTTTTTATTGTTGAGTTGGAGAAGGTCTTTATATATTCTGGATATTCACCCAACAATGCTGGAACATGTTAAGACATATTTAAGATCCACCATGTGTCTAAATTTAACTAGATTTTCAAGTGTCCTTTAAGAACATTTATTTGGGGATCCCTGGGTGGCGCAGCGGTTTGGCGCCTGCCTTTGGCCCAGGAGGCGATCCTGGAGACCCGGGATCGAATCCCACGTCGGGCTCCCGGTGCATGGAGCCTGCTTCTCCCTCTGCCTGTGTCTCTGCCTCTCTCTCTCTCATTCTATGTGACTATCATAAATAAATTAAAAAAAAATTAAGAACATTTATTTGTTAAACAACTGAAACACTTAAAAAGAAAATAAAATACATTCAATTTATAAAAGCAAATATTAGCCAAGTTTACAAATATGTTCGAATATTAATAAAAACCCCTTTAAAAGTAATTGCTAAATTTTGCTACATTTATAAATAGTGTAAGACTTACAAGTTAAAATTAAAAGTTTAAGGACTAAATTTAAGCTTAAAAATCAGACATTAATTTTAAAAATCAAACTAGATCATTTTTTCTGTGCTCCCAACTCACAAAAGAGCCCAGAGAGGTTACACAGCTTGCCCAAGGGTTTAGAGAGCTCAAAATTCATAGCTAAGGACAACTGCACTTCTCTAATGCCTCAAAGCACCTAGCCTTGGGCTACAGATCACTTTAATAATACTGCAGACAACAAAACAAACACATGATATTTCTAAATGCTCTCAACTTGCTTGACCTCATCCTCCAAGTTCATCCAACAGAGAGAGATTGCACCTCTGTTACAGGTCTGTGCTAGAATGCTGAGCTGAAAGGGACCTGATTCATGTCTCCAAGGACTCACAGTCCTCAATGAGACTGTTCCCTAGGAAACCTGCCATTCACCAGCAAGACACAAGCTCCTCCCACCAGGCTGGACTTAAATGGTGAATGGTTCACTAGTCAGTAGGAGTCTGTTCAAAATCAGGTCCCAACCATTCCTATGGGGGCAGCAGCTTTCCCTTCGCCTCAGAAGTTTAGAGAGTCAGGACAGTGTCCTCTCCATCTGGGGAGTCTGTGAAACCTTGAATCAATACCTTCCCAGGTTTCTCAGTTTGCCACCAATTCAAGAAAATCCCAAACATGGAAAGTCCCAGCTTTCCAGATATAGGAGGCATCAAGAGGATTTGCTTTGTCTCAGATTCCCCAAAGAGTTGTGTTTGGCAATGAGTATCCCTTGGGCATTTTAATTCTGATTCTTTCTACCTGAAATTCAGTTCCTATGAACGAGGAAGAGACGTGTTATAAGGAAGGAGGGGAACCTGTGGTTCTTTTGTACTTACCAGGTGGAACGGTCCTGTGAGCTTTGGAAACCTGTCTCAGCTCCTGGATGAAGCCCTGGAAGCAGTTCTTGCAGAGCAAATGCTGGCAGGGTAGGAACCGGGCGCCCACATTTTGCAGGTCTTGTTGGCACAATGAGCAGGTCAATATCATGGCCTCCATCTGACCATTCCTGTGTTTCTGGTCAACTAGTGGCAGCCCCATAAATCTCAAGCCCATATCCGTGGCCGTGCTTGTGACCGGGACCGGGGCTCTTCCCGTGATATCCTCAGGTGTGCAGCAGCGTGTAGATCGAGCAAGCTCCACTCCCTGTAAGTGAAGCACAAAACAGAGTGATTAATTCCTTTAGGGTGGGGGATGTTCCTGGAAAGGCCAGAGAGGACACAGAGAACTGGAGGCTCAGGCTGCAACCTGCAGGCCTCAGCCTCAAACTCTCACTTGAGCCCAAAGAGGGAGTCCAGCATCTCTGCTGCAGAAGTTGTGTGTTTCTTACAGAGTTTGTTGCCTTCAAAAGTGTCCAACATCTACCTGTGCTTCTCTTTATTAGTGGACAAGCTTGAACCTAGATTTCATTTTGGAAAAGAGAAGGAAATTTGTTTAAAGCCCAGTGTATGCCAGGTGCTTTCTATGCTTTATCTCAGTCTTCACAGCTACTCTTGAAGATAGGCATTATGATACTTTTACAAATCAAATAAAGCCATGAGGGACAGGCTAAAGAAACTGAGGCTCAGAGAGGCTGAGTAATTGTACAAAGACAAATGGTAAATAGCAAAGTTCAAATTCAAATTCAAAATCAGACTTCACACCATTACTACTGAAATATTTCTCAAGCTGAAGTCCACACACATATTTTCATGGGTTCTCTCCAATATTTTTAATTGATATTCATCCTAATAAGAAGTTTTTAATCTATCAATTCAAGTTCAAATACATATCCATCATAATGAGATTTTAGAGGCAGTGCTAAGAGTTCAGGATCCAATTCACACCATACAGTATTACTTTGTCTTGGGCTAATTAGAAGAGAAAGGGACAGTCTTAAATGTAAACGATATACTCTTGCCACGTGAAGTCTCAAGAACAATGTGGCACACTGGTAATGCCTGTTTCATGGCACTTGGAACAGAGAAAGGAGGTAAGGAAATTAAGCCATGATCATAGTGGCATAAGTTGGCCAAACCTGACCAATGGTGAACACCACATTCAAGGTGTACTAGCAGTTTAATGCTAGTAGTTTAGCAACACATCATCTGCAAATGAAATTAATGTCATTAATTTTATTGTTTTGGTTTTTTATACCTTGTAAATTCTATTCAGTCTTATACTTGTATAAGAGCAAAATAAATGTATCTAGTTTTATATTTGTACTCAAGAAAGAAAACAAAAATCATTTCATCATATCTGGAGTTCTATCATTATGCAGATTTGAGAGAACTTTCCTTTTAGTCCATGGTCTCCGGGAGCCAAACCCATTAGGGACAAAGAGTGACAGAGCTAGGAGAGGCCAGCCTGTTTGGGGGCCCAACAAGATGCCACTAAATGAAATAATGGATAGACTTATACCTCTAATTCAGTCTGGAGCTCTAAGAGCACTTATTTCCCAGAGGGCAGCATGGCAGCCCTGTGGCGGTAAGGGCAGTCTGTCTTAGAAGGTTTAAGTGTGCCTGAGTTTATTTCATTAGACTTTGAGAATATCAAACTCTTTGGTCTCAAAATCCTTCACATTTTTTAATTATTCAGGACCTTAGATTTTATTAATGTGGGTTCTGTCTACTACTATTTGCCATATTAAAAATGAAACCTGAGATAATTTAAAAATATTAATTCATTCAAAAACAATAAACCTATTACATGTCAGCCTGAATAACATACTTTTTAGAAAAAAATTATTTTCAAAAAAATAAATTTAGTAAAAAGAGTGACATTGTTTTTCCTTTTTGCAAACCTCATTAATGTCTGTCTTAATAGGAGACAGCTGGAATCCTGAACCTGCTTCTGTAGTCAATCCACTCAATGTTGTTTTGTTTATAGTAAATTAAGAAAATCCAGCCTCATGGGGTTGCACAGTTGGAAAAGATAAGACTATTTTTAATAGTCGTATTAGGTTATAGTGGACATTTTTTGATACTACAAGTGGTAGTTTCCTAAAGGTTGGCTGTAATGTGGAATCTGTAACTATATCAGTGAACATTTCTTACCCTGTTACATTAAAATCCACTGGGCTATCTTGTACTGATTTTTTACCCAGGCATCATTTTATAACACCAAGCATTTGCCATTTGGAAAACATTCGTTCAATGACTTATGCAGATGCTCCAACCATTGACCTTTCATTAGACAAAATAAAACATCACACTCTTTCACATCACCTCTAATCTCATTGGAAAATTATTAGTTAGATGTCAGACTCAAAGACATCAAACTCAGCTATACCTTTACCAGAATTCTATTTTTGCTGGAAACTCTAATTTTAATCATTGGCAACAAATACTATCAGTTTTTTCCTTGGAATGACAGGTTCATTTCATTGTTGAAAAAATATCTGCCAAATTCCCAAGGCTGAATAAATAACCTCAGTCTGTCAGTTGTTCTTTCAAGTAAAACTGGTGTCGTACAAAAAAAAGGCTAGTTCAGCTTGCAACTCAAAGAAGAGCACAAATGCAATTCCTTACTTTGATAAGTAGATGTGCTTTATGCATACTTCCAAGTTTCTTCATACAGAATATTAATAACGTGTATTCAAGGACTGAAATGTAATAAAATATTTACTGCTTCATTACAGACACTCCTAAGTGAGACTAAGGCTCTACGGCTTTTCCTTCCTTTTTTTTTTTTTTTTCTTTTCCTTCTCTTCCCTCCCTTCCTCTTTTCCTGCAAATGCCTGGCAGTGAAGAATACAATGACTTATACCAGCATCTTCAGTTTTTTACACACCATCTTTGGTTTTTGCTTTGGCACCACCAGGGCAAATGCCAACTCAGTGAAAAGGGCAGATAACATCTTAGTATGATTATGAAAATGGTTTTGACCCTGTGGATGCTTATAATGCTGTGGATACTTGTGACCCGATGGACACTTGTGAAAGAGTCTCAGGAACCATCCCCAGGCCTTCCCCACCCCTGATCATAGGTCTACAGATAGCACTTAGAGAACTGCTCCATTAGGCTTTAAATAACAACTCTGGGGATTCAAGGAAGTGGCCTGGCTTTCTGACACCAGTGGGAACTACTCAGGATGAATATATGAATAAATATTTTGGGCACCTGGGTGGCGCAGTGGTTGAGTACCTCCCTTTGGCTCAGGTTGTGATCCTGGGGTCCTGGGACTGAGTCCTGCATTGGGCTCCTCTCGAGGAGCCTGCTTCTCCCTCTGCCTGTGTCTCTGCCTCTCTCTATGTGTCTTTCATGAATAAATAAATATTTCGGGATCCCTGGGTGGCGCGGCGGTTTGGCGTCTGCCTTTGGCCCAGGGCGCAATCCTGGAGACCCGGGATCAAATCCCACATCGGGCTCCCGGTACATGGAGCCTGCTTCTCCCTCTGCCTATGTCTCTGCCTCTCTCTCTTTCTCTCTCTGTGACTATCATAAATAAATAAAAATTAAAAAAAATTAAATAAATAAATATTTCATTTCTGTCTTAGAAGAGCAACTAAAGTAACTCTATGAGGGTAAAGGTTAAATTAAAGGCACAGGCAAGCAATGGAGTCTCTGATTTGAGGATAAGGGGTGGAGGACAGGAACATCAACAAATATTTCTAAAGTAAAAGAGTGACTTGGTATTTTTCATTATACAAACAAGAAAAAACTATTATCAAAAAAGAATATGCTGTTTGTTCAGTATCATTTGGCTAGTGGTAAATGAACCAAAACTTCTGTGTTCTTTCTGCTAATTTTATCTTGTGAAATTAAATGAAAACCCAAATATTTAAGCCCTTCCTTGTGGTGCTATTGGATAAACTGCCCTCCAAGATCAGAGAATTCCTCTCTTCATATTTTGCTATTCTGAGTTTAATGGCAGCAATGTTTTCCATCCTAGCTTCCAACAAAACTTCTAGGAATGCATTTTCCATGTACTACCATGATATTTTTTAAAATCTATTCAACACAGTGAGGAAAGACTCCTGAAAATTAGGTTATTTTTACTTTGTACTGAAGACAACCCTGTGGATTTTCCTCTAAATGCCATATTGCCACATATCAACAACTACTGATAAAGGCAAAAAACCACCACAACAAAAACAAAAGAAAACGAAATCAATAACAACAACAACAATAACAACGATAAACCCTGAACCTGGTATAGTCGAAAGTGGTAACTATACATGCTGCTGTGCATAAATTGGTTCAATCGATTTGGGTGGAAAAACAGCATAAAATGAATCATAAAAATGTTCATACCTTATAATACAGCAGTCTCACTCCTGGGAATTTACCCTAGACACGTTATTCAATAGAAGGAAAAAAACACATACACACAAATGTTCATTGCATCACTAATAGCAAAGGACACAATAGGACTAACAACAACAAAAAAAAAAACCCAAAATACAGGAGAAACTGGCTTAGTAAATTATAGCACCTGCTGAAGACAAATTAGTATTAAGCTGTTAAAAATGATTATGATGACTGGGTAGTGATACAGAAAAAATGTCACGGTATTAAATGAAAAGCAGAATAAAAAGGATGCATCTGCTATAATCATTAGCTTTGTACATAGCTATATCTCCATGTAGACAAGAGCTGAAAAGTAATATTCAGACATAAAAACAGCATTGCAAGGTATTATGATTTGAGATGTTTATACTTATATTTTTTTAACATTCTCTTTAATGTTTCACTTGTTTTTCTATTACATGCAATTTTTAAAATCCTTTCTGAAATAAATTTAGATTCCTGAGTTTTTCTAGAATTCTCACTTAAAAAGAACAGAAACCCTGGCTCTTCCCACCCCAAATTAACAATCCTTTGCTTGAAAAAGGAAAACAACATATTATTTCCAAATGCCCAAACCTAAAGATGGAGAGCAAGCAAACAAGGCTGGATCCACCCATGTGGATTGCTATGTGAAGGACTGCTGAGGAACTTGGGAACCCAGAGAGGAGAGGAAGAAAGAGGGACCACAGGGCCCTCTTCAGGGTGGGGGTATGTTCATAAGGTCCCCTGGAGAAAGGTGTGTGGTACCAAAAAGGTCAGCACCACATTTACCTGTCTTGCCAGATTGCTGCCTGATATCATCTCCCTTCGGCTCATTTCACAGGTATTTTTTGAGGCCCTGACACTCTGGGGGAGCCCAAAAGCCTGAGATGTCACAAGGCCACACTCTACTTCAGAAGAGATGTCACAGAGAAGCAGGCCTCTCAGAGGTCATGTCTCACATGTTCCATGTGCCTGAGTGGAGAAGGACAAGTCACCAAATGCCTAATGTCTGGATACTATTCAACTTTGCGGATACAGATCTCAAACTTTGTTTGCTCTCTCAGAGCTAGTCAACCTACGGAAACTGACCTACACGGACAAGCCACACATAAGCCTTATGTTAAACCCATATGATTGTCCTGGGAATGAGGGAGGCTGCTAGAAACCAGAGCCCACAATTGCTCAGGGCACTCCCTCTACCCTGGAGATCAAACCATCAATGAGAAGAATGTTAGGTGAACACAGAACCCAACACAGAGTACTGGTTCACTCAGGGAGAATTTCCATTCCGATGGATGACCTAAGGGATAGGATGAAGTTCCTCTATAATCATGGAAGTTGGCAAAACTATTCAAAAGCAGTGCCCATTACCCAAAACCCTACCACTACCCTCTGAACAGTCTTAGTCTTGGTCCTCACTCTAGACCCTCCTTACAGAACACTTAATGGTTACCTTTCATTCCCAAAGCTCTGCCCAGCTTACCTTCACAGACCATGTTCCCAAGGGTAGCTCAGTTCATCTCTTGTGCACTTATTGGCCAGCTTTGACGTCAAATAGAGGGTGATCTCTTCTTAGACCTTGCCTCCCACTCTCATGGCCCCTCTTTCTGCTGGTCCCAGGCAGTATATGATCAAGGACTGAAGGACTGATGAAGACCATAAAGCTGTGAGGTCAGAAAGGGAGTGGTCACTGAGGTAAAAACAGATCTGGAAAGAGAAGACGAAAGAGTAGGTAGGCCCAGGCCCTGTATCTTGGCAGCACTATAGCCTCTGGCAAGTCACTCAACCTTCTGTGCCTCAGTTCTCGTATTCTTATTCATAAAATGGAGCTAGTATTGTTGACTTCTCAGGCCAATGCATTTTGTAAACTTCAAGGTATATTTGGCTATTATCACTGTGGATTGCAGTGTTCTGGGAAGAAGCAGAATATAAAGTGGGCCTTAAAGGTTGAGGAAAATTCAGGATATCTGATAGGAAGATGAGCGCTACAGGCACGAGAAATGGCACAGCACAGGCAGAAAGGCAGGGATGTATCAAGTCTGGCGGCAGTAGGAAGCTCGTGTAAAACGAGAAGCTGAGGTTGGTTTGGAAAGGCAAGTGGGCTGTATTCTGTTGGTCAAAGGGAGCTATCCAACTTTTTGATCAAGTAAGTGAAGGTGAAAGTCATGTTTTGGGAAGGTTAACCTGGCAGAGGTGAGATGGATGAAAGTATCGGATGAGGATTAGAATGCAGGCAGGATGACTAGAGAAGGATGTGGAACTCAAGATAAGAGACATGATGAGAATCCTAAGGAAGGCAGTGGCATGGGGGCTTGAAAGGAGGAAGCAGATTTGAGATACAGAACAAAAGATTATGGTGACAGTGACAGTATATTAGGAGAAATGAAGGCTTTGAAACAATTTTCAGGTCTCCATGACATCACTATCTAAGTGGACAAGGATGCCACTCACCAAGATATAGTATAAAGGAGAAGGCACCAGTGAGCAAGGAAGATTGAAGTCTTTGAATATGTTTACCAAGTTTGTCTGTAGAATGTCCCAGGGATAATAATCAGAAATTAAGTAAGTACATGAATGCGGAGCTCAGCAATAGAGATGTGAATTGAAGCCACCCAACATATGCTCACCCAAGAAGACTGCACACTGTGAAAAGTTGAGAGGCAAGAACTGGAGGCTAAAAAACATCAACAATTAAATGGTGTATAGAGTTGGAAGAACCTGGAAAAACTGACAAATGGCCAGAGAGGTAGGAAGAAGGCAAGAGTTTCTATGAAGAAGTGAAAGAGGTAAGGTACAACAGAGAACACATGGTAAAAGGAATGAGAAGAGTCCATTCAATTCATTTAATTTATGATCTGAGTAAGAGTGGTGTGGCTGATTAAACATGAATGGGAAATGAACAAATGGACAGAATTCAGACTACTCTTTTGGGGAGCTTGGCTGTAAAGGAAAGAGCTAGGATGGTAGGGAGAAATTAGGGAGAATCTAGGATATTTTAGTAAAATATATTTTAGCTGATAGGAACGAGGCAAGGAAAATAAACACACAGAGTAATTGGAAGAACGGCAGTTTAGACCCTGGTTGAGACTTGAGAGATGGCTCTTCCACTATGAGGTGAAAGTACATTCAACCACTTGATTTGTTGAACATGTACTACATGCCAGGAACTGGGAGTACAGGTTCTCCTGAACCATTAAGGAATTTGGTCGAGTAGGGGAGACAAATGTGGATCAACAATTATACATGAGCTATGTACTAGGATGTGGGGGGGGCACAAGTGGGGGAAGCAGCAATGACCATATGGGTCATTGAAGTTCCACAGGGAAAGGAGACACTTGCATGGCAAAGATCGAGGTTGAGCAGGGGTTTTCTGGTCCAGGAGAGGGGTTCACAGCCTTGTCAAGTAGGTTCAGGTGAAAAAATTTGGTGGTTACAAAAAGTATTTAGAGCCTGGATTTAAAAAAACAAAACAAAACCATAAAGCCGCCAGGTATACAGGCCCCTGAAGTATATTGGATTGTTCAACTATGGACGCCCAGGATGACAGCACAAGGGCGAAGGAGCAATTAAGACCGAGCGCCTCCTCGGAGTGTGGGCGATCAGGTGGGCGGTAGACACGTGGGGAAGGACTTCAAAGGGAGCAGAGCCAGACAGCCGGTGCTCGCTGCGGGTCGAACAGTGCCTCGCGAATCCTCACTGCAGCCGCTACCGCCGGGGCCGAGCCGACCGCGAGGACGAGCGAGGCGCGCGCGTCGGCTCAGCAGCGGGGCGTTCGGCCAGGAGCCCGGGCGGGTTCCGGGGACACGGGGATTCCGCGACAGGTCTCAGCCTTCGAGCCTGAGCGAACGAGGGCGATGCGGGGGCAGTTTTAGGGCCGCCGCCGTGACCCGGCCACGGCGTGGAAGGAGAGGACACCGAGCTGAAAAAGGAGGGGTCCCGGCCTGGCGGTCACGCGAGGCCCGCGAACCCCGCGAATCCCGCGAGACTCCAGAGACCCCGCCCTAGGCCCGGCCTACTCCGGCCGGAAGTGAGTCTCTTGGCTCCGCCCCCGTTGTCGGTAGCTCGCGAGATTTCGCAGACACCTCCCTTTTTCCTCTGGGCCGCCAACATGGTAGGTGGTTCTTTTCGTTTCTCCGCTGCGTTGCTCGTTCAGGCCGCGAGCTGTACCCGGTTTGCACCTCAGCCACCAACTCCCGGCCTCGGCCCGACCTTCCAGGCCGCTCGGGGCAGGGTGGCCCGTGTGGGCCCGCGTGTTCTGCCGAGGGTTCGGCTCTCTGAGACACGCGGGCCTGCGCGCTCAGGCGCCGCCCTGATGAGGCCACGGGGCCCCGGGCCGACCGGTCCGTAACATCACCCTTGCGGATGTGGCCCAAAGCAGATCCTTGACCCCGCAGACCTACAGCCCCTTCTCAGACGGTCAAGGTCGCCCTCTGCCCCACCTCCCTTTGGCTTTATCACCAAGCACCTTTTTCCATACAGCCATCCAGACTGAGGAAGACCCGGAAACTTCGGGGCCACGTGAGCCATGGCCACGGCCGCATCGGTAAGTGCCGGCATCCCATCCTGGCCGGCTTTGAGCTCTCCCTGCCGGGTGCTTAGCTAGCCGGGAAGTGGGTAAGGTAGAAGTGGGTAAGCTTTGTGCGGTCATTCGGAGTAAGCTTGGCTGTTAGCTGTTGGTTTTTTCCTTAGAATTCTCTACGGTACTCCATTTAAAGACAACTTCACATCAGTTGGGGGGGGGTAGTTTAAATTGGGACAAAGTGTTCCATTTGTCGAAGGCATGAACACTATCCAACAGTAGATAGTGCTGTGATGTGGAACATTGCAAAGAGAAGTTTGACCCAGAGTCTTGAGGGAATAGCAGTGCTTAAAGAGGTTTTGTAGACTGAAAAAATAAAACGCAGAAGTGTGGGGAAATGCTTTTGCAAGAAGACTTGAACTGGAGAAGGCTACGTTAGCCATGTAGCTTTGTATTGCAGGCAAACACCGGAAGCACCCAGGAGGCCGGGGTAATGCTGGTGGCATGCATCATCACAGGATCAACTTCGACAAATAGTGAGTGTTTCTTGACCTGTACTTTCACAAGCACTGACAGTTTTGGAGTGATGGGTAAAGGGCTGGCTCAGGACACAGGACACCTTCAGTGGGAAACAAGCCTCTTAACCACTCAAAAACCTTTGTATATTGCTGGGTTTTAGCAAGTTAACATTTGATGTGAACCGAGAATTTGCCATCGAGGCTAGAGTCACGCTTGGGTATCAGCTATTGCCTTAGTGTGCTAGAGTCCTCGAAGAGTAATTGCTGACCTTATTCACTGGCTGTGACCCTTATGGCATAGTCAGTCACCAGGTTAGTGACATGCGTCAGGTGTATAACCTGCTAGATTCACTATGCCCCCAAATTTGTTTAGAAAATCTCTACTACAAGAATGTGTGGAATTTCCATAGAGTGGCTGTCAGGTGATACGGAAGATCTCTAGTCTTGGCTCTGCCTCTTTTTCAGTGATTTATCCTGGTTCCATGAAGTAAGGGTAGTCTCCTGAACATCTTCCATGGCTTTTTTTTTTTTTTTTAAAGACTTGTTTTAATGCAACAATGAATGGAGTCCTGGTTATGTCACTATTGTGCACTGAGGAACAATTTACACTATAACTAGGGGAGATGAACTATGAAGACAACAAACATCACTTCTTAATTGGAATCAGGTTATGAAAGTGATTATCTTTCTCTTCCTAGTCACCCAGGTTACTTTGGAAAAGTCGGTATGAGACATTACCACTTAAAGAGGAACCAGAGCTTCTGCCCAACTGTCAACCTTGATAAACTGTGGACCTTAGTCAGTGAGCAGACACGGGTAAATGCTGCCAAAAACAAGACAGGAGCTGCTCCTATTATCGATGTGGTGCGATCGGTGAGTGAATGAATATTTGTTGACTTTACATGGTCTTTGTCTCTCAAAATTCTGGATAATCTGATCTACTGATGCCCTTCCTAGAATTTATACCTAGTTACCTACCAGACTACTGTCTTTTGACAGAATTTCAACAGGTAACTCACCAAAATTGCATTCTACTTGTGATTCATGCAAAACATTCAGCTCTTTCCAGTCCCTCATTCATTCAGTTACTTTTGTTATTTCTTGAATGTTTTTCCAATCAGTCTCATTCCCACTCTTACTTAACTGTCTTGGTTTGTACAGGTTTGCATTTCTGGCCTGAGCTTTTGAGCAGTATCTCAGCTCAGCTGGCTCTGGTCTCTTTTAATACAACCCTGCTTACATGGGCACTCTTGGCCCTTTATGTCCCTTACAGAATAAAATACTAATATGTTTGTTAATTGTGGATCTACATTAACGGAAGAGATTTCCACTCCCCACCCCTGCAAAGCAGTGACGACAAAGCATTTTTGTCTGTCCTTCGGAGTTCTGGTCCTGTGTCAGTTCTAACCTCCCATGGGTGTGGAGGTAGTCTTAAAGGGGCTTTCAGTGAAGTTTTAAATCCCTTTTCTCAGCCTACTTAACATTCCTTGAGCAATTTTGGTAGGACTTCTTGGAACATTGCTAGGAATGTGGTCTTTTGCTTATCAGGTAGTAATTGAATGGGGGGGGCGGTGCAGGGGTTGTGCTTTCTTGAGGCTAGAGTCACATCCTGACACATCTCTTGTCCTGGTGTGCTAGAGTCCTCAGAGAGAATCTGCTGGTCTTGATTCACTGGCGAGGGCAGTTGGTGCCCCCGGTAGTGCCCAGATCAGAAACATGTCCCCCCAGCTCCTACATGGAGTAGATTGGCAGTCATTTTTCTTCATACCAAGGAGTTGGTACCTGCTGTGGTGTGTATTATAAACTCTTTTTCTATTCCTCTAGGGCTACTACAAAGTTTTGGGAAAGGGAAAGCTCCCAAAACAGCCTGTCATCGTGAAGGCCAAATTCTTCAGTAGAAGAGCTGAGGAGAAGATAAAGGGTGTGGGGGGCGCCTGCGTTCTAGTAGCTTGAAGCCACATAGGGGGAGGTTCATTAAATGCTAACAAGTGCTTTTCTCTTGTGGTCTGAGTATAAATTCTTTAGCACCGCTACCTCCCTACCTATACATCAGAAACATGCCTAAACAGATTTTTAGGAGTTAAGGATATGAGGGCCTGAGCTTCTCTACCAGCTCCCCTCAGAAAGTGCGAGAGATGACACCAGCACATAAAGGATTTGGCCCAGTACCTAACTTGAACATTTTTGTTTAGAATGTGTGAATGGGATAACCTGTGATAGCACATGGATGTATCTTAGAGTTGAAAAGCCTGTTTGCATTGTAAATTCGGACTATACAATGAGTAGGAGAATACACCCTTAACTGCAATGTGTGGCTGTACAGCTCTGTACCTTACATGGGGCTTGAACTCAACCAGATCAAGTTAGAGCTCTACCAACTAAGCCAGTCAGGTGCCGCAAAATGGAAGACTTGGTTATGATCGGATGGACAGTGAGAAGGATTGAAGCAATTGTGGAAGATGTAATTCCTGAACTGAAGGTTTTTCCTCCTTGACTCCCATCTTTTATCATACTATTCTAGTCGTAACCAAAAAATTTGAGGTGGGGCCCAGCAGTTTGAATGTTAAACACCAGGGCTTTTACACGTGAAAGTGGTTTGGAATCTAAATAGCATTTGTCAGAATTTATATATCCCTGTGCATAGCAGTCATAATGTTCAAAGAAATACATCATGAAATGATAAATATTTTAGTCTGAAATGTATCTAGCATAGAATTTAGACCTAAAAGGCTGGAATCTGGTTTTCTAGGGTTTGTTATCCCCTACAAAACTGATGATGATCAATTCTTGTGTCAGATAAGACCTTCAGATCTCTGGGTAAATTAGTTTACTAGTTTTTCTAGTTCTTCCCAAAAATTATGAAATTTTTTTTTTAGGCCTCAAATGAAAGTTGCGGTCTAGAACCCTGGCCGAAGAAATAAGATGACACTAAAAATATGACTAGGTTTAGCTTGGCAGCGTGTTTCTTTTGTGCTCTGGGGTGATCGTGGGCTAGGCATCATAGCTTTGTATTGGACAAATTTCTTGTGACAACCTTTAGAGGATTTTGCACATGGAGTATAAGGAAACTGGAGAGCAAACTTAAGCTGATTGGGTTAAGAAGGTGCCAGGAAGGCTTTGCTCAGTTGGATACCCAACTGGATCATTTGAAGTTGCATCTCTGTTAATGGTCCTGACATTACCTGAAAGATAAAACAGGTTGTCTTTATTGTCTTTGGAGGACATAATATGGAGGCTGAGGTCCTGGATCTGAAATGGGTTATAGTTGATATTGAGAGAATAAGTGGTATAGAGTATCTTAAGATTCAGAAGGGGTTTGAGCTTTTTGATCCAAACCTTCGCAGTTGTGTGTGGCTTAACCTTAGTCCGGTTTTCTCTTTAAAAAATTGAAGATTGTATGGATTAAGCAAACTGGAAGCATTTACTAAACCGTTTGGACTTAACTGTGAGTGATACGGGAGCAGACAAAATTAATCCCCTTGGTCTGATTAAGTCAAGGTAAAAATGATCCAAGCAGAGGGAAGAGCAAACACGCTAATAACCAATTTGGAAGAGTTAAGGGAAGTCTTACTTGGGAGGTAAACTTCCCTGTGGAGAATATAGTTAGGGACTGGGCCACAGTGGGAAGTAAAATAAAATGGGAAGGAGAAAGCAAAAGGATTCAGAAGATTCAATGGACAGGACTTGGCAATTGGGTGAAGTGGGGTGTGGCTGAGGCCTAAATGGTTAGGCCTGGACGGGTGGGGTATAGTGGACCATTTGTGAAAACTAGTCCCTTAATAGCTACTTTCTTTCCCAGGAATTCATTACCACCATGTAGCAGGAGTAGCCATAAACCGGATGGGGTTGAGTGGGATCCTACACCTTCCTGTCCTGTATGAAGGTGTAGCTGGGCATGCTGAATGTGAAAGTCCCTCATTTTAAATAGAAGATAATCCAGATATGATGCCATCCCACCTGGCCTGGGAAGGGCAGCTTGAGCAGCCTCTTTCCAGTTTGCTCACTCAGGTCTACTGCTCATATGACCCACACGTTGATGCACATGTTAATATTGCCAGGGAAGTTAGGTGACTGAGGAAAAGACGTACTTCCATGCTGCAAATAAAGGGCACAGACCTTTCGTGACCACTTAGCTTGTCTGATGGGACCAAACACAAACCTTACATTTTAACTTAATATATTTGGGTGAAAGGGCCACTGATGAGACAGAGTCCACGCTTAGGAATCCAATGTTGAAGCTGCCAAGCTTTGAGTAGTCTGTCCTGTAGGCACGGGCCGGTGCTGCATCATCTCTTAGTGGGTGATAACGTGCCCCGGGTTAATCCAAGTCCTCCCACGTACGGGAAGCAGAGCTTTTGTTAGATTCCCCGTTAACTCCGTGGTCCTCAACCATTTGCCTACCTGCCTCTTCAAACTGAAAAACCATGTCACCGAGCACCTCAGGCTGACGTGCTTATTTTCTATAAGCTTGAAATGCTAAGGATAGAACTTCTGGCCTAATGTACACGTGCTTTAAATTTTCATCCAAACCTCAGAGCTGCAGCTGCAACAGCAGTTGGAGGTATCGGACCCGACCCCATTATCAAAATCCGCTAAATCGAACTTAGGGTTTCAATTCAAATACACGTATTCTTAACTTGACGGCTAGACCAAACGCAGTCCGGCCCTGGACGAGCCTAAGGGCTCATCCGCGGAAGGCGTGCGGCGTCGGCCTCCGCTAGGAAGAGGAAGACCACGAGGACAGCAGCGGCCAGGGCCCCGCCGAGCGCGGCGCTATCCCGGCCCCACCTCAGGACGCCATAACACAATAGCCACACGGGTCAGTCCTCGCGGAGGGCCACTTCCGGAGGGTGTGAGGTTCTGGTTCCGGGGTCACGCTGACCTTGCCCACTCCCGCGACCGGAAGCACGCTCTGCTCCGGCTCCCTCCCGGGGCTCAGTCATTTCCGGCAAGGGGCGGGGCCGGTCGGGAGGCGGAGAGACTCCCTGGCGAGGCGCGAGGTTCAACTCGGCCGGCGGCCGTGGGCGTGGGCCGCTGCGGAACTGGCGGCCGGGCGGACCTTGCAGCCCCGAGGTCGTGCTTGTTAGGCCGCGCTGACGGAAACGAGGTCTTTATACACACGTAGAAGGGGAATTTCCAGACTTCTCAGAATGAGCTTCCCTTGTCAAGAACATGAGCGCCAACTGCGTTCACCTGCTCGTACACACAAGGAAACGTTCGGGAAGAAGGGAAAACAAGGCATTTCCTCGAGCTGTGGGAGGTGAGGGAGATGTCTGTTCTTGTAGTTTTTCTTGCTTAACCAAATGCATATTACTTTATATTAAAGGGAATATAAAGACAAAATAATTCCAAATTTACAGTAATTTGCCAGTGCCGAAAAAGTAATATTTTCTCTTGATCTAGAGTTTTCATGACCTTTTACGTGACTCTGCCCTCACTTCCATAGACAAATGAATTAAGCTGTGTTGGAATGCATACGACCACTTAGGCTCTAGAAACGTGCTGTGCGTCGCCCTTAGAATGTAAGTTCAGGTGTTATGTTTCACCCTTGGCTCTATTTTACAGCGTTTTTGTTTTTATTTTATCCCCACTTTGGTCTTTTCTTAAGACTCCGTTTATGTATCTTTATAAAGAAGTCATTTTGGGTACAAGTTACAAGTCTCCATGTAAAATAAAGGATATTATTTTTAGCAAAAAATTTAACTGAGCTGTAAATATAATTAGATGATTTGGGGGATCCCTAATTCCACACACCATCCAATATAAGCTGGAGTTGGATAATATAATGTGGCTTTCCATGGGCATTCTTTCAAAATACTGCCTTCAAGAAGCCCAGGCTCCTCATTTGGACAGTTTAACAGAGCATGGTTATTTAGTTTAAAAAGCATTTAGGAAGATGTAATGGGGCAGCCTGCCCTGGTCTAAGTTACAAGATGGATCAAGGAGAAAACCGAAGGCCTTAACTCCAGAATAGAGAGGGGCTGACACTCAATAGACAGTGGGGCTTCTGGTAGAGGAGACAGCATTGTTGCCCCTATGGGCCCAAGGGATGCCAGGAAGGCAGTTTTTAGACATTTGTTCTCAATGATTGCAAAACCATCCTCTAGGGGGGGTAGTTTGGAAATGAATGGGGCAGTTTTTGTTTGTCACAATCATGGAGGGGAAGCAACCAAGGTTGCTAGACATCCTGCAATGTGTTGATTCTAAACAACAACAAAAAAATCTAGATCTATCTCCATTTTACACATAATTAACGCCCCCCCCCCCCCGCCCCGGCCCAGTTTTCATATACTTCTCAGTTTTCCAGGATTCCAAATGCTGTTTAAATCCGGGGAAGCTCACTGTGTTTTGCTCAGAATATTGCCAGTTGTTCAGTTCTCTGGGTCACCTGGGTGGCTCAGCCCATTAAGCATCCGACTCATATTTTAACTCAGGTCATGATCTCAGGAATGTGAGATTGAGCCCTTCATCGGGGTCCATGCTGGGCGTGGAGTCTGCTTAAGATTTTCTCTCCCTTGCCCTCTGCCCCCACCCCCCAAAAAAGTTGTTCAACGTTCTTAACAATGGTAACACCTACTCAGGAGAATCTGAGTTGCTAATACAACACATTTTTATCTGTGCATGTGTAGCTACTGCATTCACAGTAATTCTATGTACAAATATAAGCATCTGACCTCATTATATCATCTAGTATAGCTGTACCCAAGCATTTACATATTTAAATGCATGTTATAACAAAATAGTTCCTTTTATTTCTCCCTATTTATATTAAAGTTAAGGCGTGCTTAGGTAGGTTATGTTATCTACAAATTTCATTTCAGGATAGTAAAGCGGGGAGTGAGAGTATTTGCTAGGGAAAAGCAGAGTGTTGGATCTGATACGGTTGAGAACTGTTTAGGGGTTGAGAGATCATGTAAAATGGAACTTGGAAAGAAGTATTGACTGCTTTTTGTCAACTCCATACCAGGCCCCCTGAACACACCCTCCTCTTATGTTC